CGTGGCCTATCGATTAGCGTGCTAGACTGTGAAACCGACGGTCCAAAGTTCGCACCCCGTTGCTACCAAATCGCGCTATGCACTTTAGAGTCGTGGGTGTATTATAAGAGTGACAATCAAATCCCACTACTCGATTAGAATAACCCAAGAGTTGGCGGTGGGTATTGACTATCTGCCTTCTAACTAGTCTATCAGTTCAAAATAAGATGGATAGCGCAGATAACCCTTGTATAGCTTTACCCAAATTTCCGAAAAACAACAACAACTTTACTTCACGATGCGAGTTAACAGGGGATTTATATGAGAAATACGAAGATTATGTTGTACATAAAATATGACTAATCGATTTAGAGTAATATTCAATCACATCATAAGTTTAATTAAAATTGAAGAGACAATTGTGTAAATTTTAAATACCACAATTATCTGAAACCTGACGATGACGAAGTAAGACATTCAAACTGGTAGTGTGTATGAAATGTGTCTATCCTCAAGGTTTTTATCTATGTACAGTAAATTACTGGGTAAATGTTTTATTTTGAGACAGGGCACATTCTCATTTTTAATTAAGTATTGTTGGTTTATTTTAACAACCGCTATATTATTATTGTACTAGAATAAAGAATACTCCTATTAATTCCACAAGAATATTCACATGATTATAATAATTACTACTAAGTAAAGGAAGTAAGTTGCAAGTGCCACGCCTTCAAATTTGGTTTGTTTACAATTTCACGTGTAACTAATCGAGGGCCATCTGTCCCTAATTTATCAGTGATTGACTAGAGGGAAGGCAGCTAGTCAACATCACCCACTGCCAACTCTTGGGCTACTCTTTTACCAACAAATAGTCGACTGTCACCTTATAATGCTTCGAAGGCTGAAGGGTAGAGCATGTTTAGTGACGACGGGGATTCGAACCCATGATCCTCCGATTTCGAGTCGAGCGCCCTAACCACATTTTCACCTCAGGACGCTGAACTGTGTTAGCATTTCTTTGTAAATATGAACTGAATCATACTAAATAGAGTATAAATGGCTTGGATTTTGGTATTTCAAATATATATGCGTGTCGAATTATAAAGTACACATTTTCAACGTTTTGCTAACAACTAACTTCAAGCACAAGAATACATTGCTTGATGAATTTAGTGCGGAGCAACTCGAGGGCTGTCTGCGCCAGCCGTCTCTAATTTGTAAGTGACAGACTATAAGAAAGACAGCTAGTCAATATTACCCACCGCCAACTCGTGGACTGCTCGTATCAAACAGTGGGATCTAACTACCACTCCTATAACGCACCACAACCTCAAAATGCGGAGAGCGATTGTTTCTTTTTTGTTATCAGGAATAAGGCGCGATCAAAGAATCCACAGTCAGGCACACTAACCACTGGGCTGCACAAGAAGAAATAGATTTGTCTGTAGTTTCAACATACTTTTTACGCATTTACGTAAAGGAAAAGAGGGTTAGGCCGACATCCTATTTTTGTGACGTAAAAAATTATGCTTATATAGTTACAGCACACCTTCTTATGATATTTAACGTTTTCTACAGTCTTCTTACGAAGTATTAACATTTTTTGTCTTGAAATAGTCGCATGCAATGGCTTCTGTTGACACTTTGTAAAATCTATATTGCTTCTGTCAGGTTTTGTAGTTCGAATTATTTACAGTAGGTGTCTGTGGCTTGTTGGCGATAAATTTCAACAATAAACAAACAGCAACACAGT